GCCAGCACTCAGACCCAGAGTCTGGTTCAGAGTCTGTCCCTGCACTCTGCTCTCTGTCTCCCAAGCGTGAACTAGAAGAAGGGGAGGCTGTAAGTAGGAGGCACTGTGATAGACCAAGGGTGAGGTGAGCTTGGGCCTTCAGAGTGAGGTCGGAGAGTGGGTAACCAAATGAGATAGGAGGAAAATAGAAGTGATGGGATCGGTTACTGGTTGGAGGTGGAGAAGTAGCTAATGATGCCTGGCATTTCCAGCTTGGAGAGACCATTGACTGGATAGGAATCTAGGAGCATGTTGAGGAGTAGAGGTCATGAGTTGGTGAAGCATCTCCAGGGAATCCAGGTGAGGGACAATAGGAAATGTAGGAGTAGGACTCAGGAGGGGGGTCTGAGCTGGAGTTGGGGGTCTCGGCATATAGGCAGTAATTGAAGACATGGGTGGGTGAGAAACCAGAGACAATGAGCAGTGAATGCTCGGGCCAGCAAAGCAGTCTAGGGAGGGGAGTGGTCAGAGAAAGAGGAAGGCAGGACCAGGGACGTGAAGAAGGGACGTTTCCAGGAGGACGGAGTCTTCAACACTGTCATGTCCTGCAAAAAGGTCACCTATGTTGAGGCCTGACTGACAGGGCCGCTGGATTTGACCACGCTTGGGTCCTGCTGTAGAGACTGGCTGAACTCACAGCAGAGACGCCGTACCTGACCTCGCCTGGGTGACTTGGTTTGATGTTGTCTTGCACTGCTTTTCACCAACTCTGCTGTTTCCCCCTTTACCTAGAGACCATCAGTGATGTCACGTTTGGCGCAGGAGTCAGCTACATAGACACATCGCAGACTCCTTCCTCAGTCAAAGGCAAGTTCCCTCCTGTCAGTGCGGGAGCCGCTTTGGAGTCCTGGGAATCTGAATTTGTTTGTTTTTGACTCCCTTTCAGAGAAAATTGAAGCCAAGAGTCAAGGAAATGACATTTTATGTTTATCATTACCTGATAAACCGTAAGTTTACCAAGAGGTTCTTTTGAGGTAGATGTTTTGTCAGGGTTTTTTCTTTTAGTTCTAGAATAATGGTATCTTTTCTTTCCCTTAGGCCCCCACAGCCTCAGCAGTGGAATGTGAAGTCTCCAGCCAGAAGTAAAGACAACCCAGCTCCCAGTAGGAGGTCGCTCCGAAAGACCCCCCTGAAAACAGCCAACTGAACCAGTGCGTTCTGAGAAGGGAGTGCCGGGAAGGCAGGAGCTGTGAGGGAGCATCCTTGTTTCCGAGTGTGGAAAGGCAGGCGCATCACTTCCCTCACACTGGAGGACACTTTCGTTATGTGAGGTCAGAGCTGCTACTCGTGGTTCCGGCACTCTCTTAATTGTTCACCTGGGGAGCTGGCCAGTCTTCTAAATTTCTCTTTATGAAATATGTGGTAAAAAATTGTAAAGTAATAGAGAAATGCCTTAGCTATTTAATATTATGACTTTCTCCATTTGCAAGAATCAAGTCCATTCTGATAAACTGTCTTCTGGTCCTTAAGGAACACAACTTAACGTGTCAGTTGTCTGTTATATAAATCAAGCCTCTCTTAGCTCGTTTGATTCCTTATTGTACCTAGTTTCCCATATCTAATAAGATTTTGATTGTAATATGTTTTCTCTTTTTTATAAATGGCAGATTTTTTCAACAGTGCACAGCTTTGTAAAATGGAATAATAAAGGTTAAGCATAAATATAGCCTCCTAGTATTCAAGATAATTTTTCTACTTTTAGAACAGGACTTTTATTGGTAGTCATTTTAATTTACATAAAGTATTTAAGAATGATAAAACCAAATCTTTCCTGTTAGGGAAAAAATGACTCAGTTTGTCTTTAAGGTTCTAGTCATCTGTCCCCCTGCCTTTGTCCCTGATCAGAAGCTGTCTGCCTCCTCACAGCAGACACCCTTCTTAGTATGTAAACACGGCCCTGCTTATGAGGAAGCAGCCCTGTGTCCTTGCCCAGAGCAGCAATGATGCTGGTCTGTGTGAACAGTGTGCAGGGGAACGCTCCGTGAGGGCAAGGACTTGGGTCACTTCTGTTGGCACCATTAGGGAACCTTTAAACACATTATGTTTATGTTTTGTCCAAGAATGACCAGAAAGGAATCCAGTTGGTTCACTTTTTAATCCCAGTACTAGAGAAGCAAAAGTACAGGGTTATTACTGTTTCAGTGTGTTTAATAGAAATGTGGTTATGGATTTGAGGGGTGGAATGTCACTGTGATCCACCCACAGCTCTCCCATATATGAACTGGGACACGTGTGGACACATCACTGGCAGAGGGAGTCACAGAGCCGCTTGAGTGAATGACTTATCTCCGATTCAGATAGATGATGATGGCAGTCTCTCTTTTTTTTAAGATTTTTATTTTATTTTTTGCTAAGGAAGATTCACCCTGAGCTAACATCCATGCCCATCTTCCTCTATTTTGTATGTGGGATGCTGCCGCAGCATGGTTTAATGAGCGGTGGTGCATAGGTCCGTGGCCAGGATCTGAACCCCAGGCCACTGAAGCGGAGTGTGCAAACTTCACCACCACACCACCAGGCTGGCCCACAGTCTCTCTTTAAACATGGGACTGTGCCATTTTAAGTCCTTGCCTAACAAAAAAACTGCTAGGAAGAAGAGGTAAACCCAACATAAGAGCAAAAGAGCAAATGATAAACGAAGCTGAATTTTTTAAAGCTTTTATAAATGAGGTTTAACAAATACCAACTCATAGGTGTGTTAGTACAAGTCTGTAATATCTATGTACAGCAACAGCCACACCAAAGGCCACACCACCCTTGTATAGCCCTCGAGTGTTTAGTCACATTTACATCTTAAAAACACATGAATGTTCCTTTTCTGTCTACATTTTTACAGTAATAGGCAACTACTTCCCAAACTCCACACTCACTTCTCTCTGCTCCATCAGACCCAGTTCACATGGCACTAGGGTAGGAGGTTTTAGGGCTTAGGGATGGAGGCAATAAGGCCACCCCCACCCCATCACTATGACAACCAAGTTAGAGGCTAGAGTGTTGTCCCCCAAAAATTAGAGGAGGGGGAGCTACCCCTTTCTACCAAGAGAAGGTGAAGATGAAGGGGCAGTCTCAAGTCAAAGCATTCAAGACACAAATGCAGAAGACAGGTACCATTAAACAATTACAAAGAGTTGCCCCCTGCTTCTGCCAAATACACCAGGGCAAAGTATTTCACATAACTTAGAAAAGTCAGTATCAGTCTCAAGTATTCAATAAAAAAAACTCAAAGTATAAAAAATGAAGACACTGAAAGTTTAATCCCAAGATGACTATGTTGTCCTACATAAAACCCTTCTTTGAGCACACAGTGGGGCTGGAGGTGCTCCTCTGAGAGCCCCTCGCTTCTAACCGCTTCACATCCTGAGTTCAACACAGCAACGTGTCTGAGGCTGAGAACATCTGCTCTCAAAGAACAAAGGCTTCTGAGCGATGTCTCTAATGTCCCCCACAAAGTGAGCGGCAGTGTCTTGGGTAGATAAAAAGTTTAAAATCAGAATTAGAAAACTACCTTTGATTCAGGCGTTTTACTTTCCTCCCTGTGAGGCTTTCTGCCCTGGCTGTACTGCCTAATGGTCATCAAAAGCCTGGCCTGGCTGCCGCCACATAATGGTTTATTGTGAATGAGACACAACCTGCGGCGTCCCGGCACTTTCTTCATGGCAAAGAGGAATAGTAGAATTCATTTTCTTTAAAAAGTATTATTGTAGTTGACAGATTTGATTTCAAAACTGTCTTTGGCCCTGGACAGTCTTATGAACTACACAACTCAGTAAAATGAATTTAAAAACCACATTGCAGTAGCTGCTTTGTTTCGTGAGCCCTCCGACCAAAAGAGCTCTGTCACAGGACCCCAAAGGCTGGGCCGCCACCCACAGAAAACCCTCCTTTTCTGAAGTGTCCGCCTTAGACCTGCTGTGGGCTGAACCAAGTACATGTGGTACATGAACAACTCTGTTAAAGCTAACCAGCACACAAAGCCACAGTCGGGTTAAAGACAGCAGTGGTCATGCTGGCTGGCCTTCGAAGTTAGTAGCCAATACCAACTTAGAGTGGGGCATACCACTCAACCCCAGGAGTTGACCAACATGGCATGTCTAACCGCTCCTGGGTGGTCTTTGGGCATAAGTAGTTTTAGTAATCTAGGGAAAAGGCAGTTCAAAGCTAACCTAAGAGCTCCTTATGTTTCTTTTGGAGAGATGCAAACAAGTTTCAACATTACTCAACTGGAATTTTTTAAAGGTTTCCTAAACAACAATGGTCTGATGTATAGATGGCCTAAGTTTTCTTGTGAAAAAATGCTAAAACTTATGTGGAAAAAAGGAATGTTCCAGTAAGCCTCCTTGAGAGGATTCATTGGGTTAAAATACTCTTAATTGATATTTTCGAATTTAACACTAGTAGCCTGGAACTCCTACCTTAAGTTGAACTTTTCTTAAAAAAATAGGTTATTTAACATTGTATGACAACATATTTACAGTTTAAATAGAAATTTTCTTTTCAGTAATCAAAATACATCTTTAGCAAAAATTTAGAATGTAAAATTTTATAAAATAAACACCCACAGAAAAGCAGAACATTATTTCAGTACCACTTCAGATTTAGCCTAAGATGAAGGTTTTCCCTAAATACTGAAACCCTCCATGGACAAGCAAGTAAGAAAATCCCTTCTTCCAACAAGCAATTTACCTTCCTGGTTTTGGCTGTTTTTATAAAATGCTGATCCAAAAAGATTCTCCAAGATGGACACGACAACACTGATCACAAAGCCTTTAAGAAGAAACGATGCGGCGCTGTGTGGGCCACTGGGAACAGGTCACTGCACGAACAGCCTCTTTTCTGGATTCACTGACGCCAACTCTGCAGCTGCAGGATTTCACGCTGTGATTCCAGTTTCCAAGCCTTACAGTGCTGGTGCTGCACAGCGACCTCTTCACCCTCACGTGAGGGCACCTGGCTGACAAGAGCGAGTGGCATATAAACGGGCTTCACAGGCCCACAGTGCCCAGCCAGCAGAGTCAACATGAGCAAGAGCTCCGATCACCTACACGTGTGGCATCAGCCTCAGTGAACTCATTCAGGGTGTCTTCCTTGTGATGACTCTGCCCATCTTGAGGAAAATTCTGTCTTTCATGTGGCTTGTTAAAAAGTAAGAAAGGAGTAGCGGTCAACTTTGGCCAAAACAAAAAGCTTTTGCGCGTGTCTAGCTCTGTCCCAGTGCACTTTGCTCCCAGGCGCTCTTGATAGGAGTTTCTAGCAGAGGTATTTGCATGTGCTCTCAGCCACACTGGCAGATTCAGATCACAAAGGATGACTTGTGCCTGAAGTCGCCCTGCAAGGCCAACACCCAGTTAGAACACAGCCATCCTCTACCACTCGGGCCCTGGTGGGACAGCGATCAAATCGAATGCACCATTTCCCCGAAGAAGCAGCGTGGGGCAAAACCAATCAAATGAAATAATCCTTCTTGAAAAATAACATCTACTAGAGCTTCAAACTGCGGGTGCCATGATTGTGCACACATTATCGGGAAGGGCAAAAGAGCTCAGGGTCCGGAATATAATGCAGAAATCTTGTTTCGTCTGGGAGCCACTTGGTTTTCAAGAAGGAATGTCATTTTCCCTGCTGGGAACACTTCGGTTTCTAGGTTTCCTAAAGGACGTCTGCTCTGTTCCCTCACTCCTTACCTCCTCCTCTGTCTTGATGTAGTTAGCTCCATCTGGCTGCCCTGGACTCTTGTAACTGTGAAATAGGAAAAGAAAGTACTTCAGTGACTACTGATTTATCATATTAATGCCAACTTGAACGTCGTTTTCTTCACTTAAGACAGGCTTACCTTTCCCCATTCTGTTTATCGTTGATGAAGTAACCACGTCTATATGCACAGCAGATGCCCACTGTTATCAGGGCCAGGACAGCAAGGACAACCAGAACCCCCCCAATAATCCCGCCGATGTTCAGGTCATCTGGAGAAGAGGAGGTTTGAGGGAAGAGATGATACACACCTGTCTGTTCTTAGAAAAGACCGCCATGATCCCACTGTGCCTCCTTCCCTCCTCTCTCCTTCCACTCCCCACTCTCCCCTCATGCCTACCCCAGCAGAAGAGCAAAGTGGGAACACTATACTCCTTCTAGCCTGGAACATACAGGGCCCCATAACCCCTGGTCTCACTTTTGAAAGTGTTACCCCAGCCCCTGGCCCCATTAAGACATTAACCACAACCCTGCTTAGAACAAGCCTAACGTGTTGACTTTAGCTTACAGGAAACCACAATGACAAGGAGGGGAAAGAGGAGATAGCTGAGACATATAGTCAAAACCAGTTAAAACCAGTTGAAGGCAACATGGCAGCCTGAACTTGACCAGACATAGACCCTGCGGCTTATTATATGCTCATTGTAATACATTACCATGCTATATAACACACCCACCGGCGCCATGACAGTTTACAACTGCCATTGGCAACAGCAGGATATAACTAAATAAGGAAAGAGGTGGCACCCTTGTTCCCCTGAAAAGCCGGCCAGTTCCCTGAATACCTATGACTGTTCCTCCCCTTCATTACTTTGACCCCTTATAACAGCTGCTTAATCATCCCAAGAGCTGAGAGGTTGATTTGTGAACATAGTTCCCACTTCTCCATTCTTTGGCCACTGAATAAAGCTTGCGCTGTTGAAAGCTCAGCTTCGGTTTCATTTCAAATCTGCAACACCGAACAGAAAACAACCCCCTGAGGAAAAAAAGCGCTGATTGTGGGTTTGAGGCCCACTGGCCCTGAGCTCTTCCTTGGGTCCCCTCTGATTGTGGGTTCAAGCCCCACCAGAGAGAAGCAAAATTGGTAACAAAAGTACTGAAACCTCTACACTTCAAATGCTGTTATACTTAAATACTGTAGAGAAAGGGGCTCATCATTGTACAAAAGGCTTACAGATCCTCTGGCTAAATCCCTGAGAATATTATCAGTGGAGGAAATGGTGAAACTATAAAGACATTATTAGGGGCCAGGAGTCCTAAGGAATAAAAAATTACTAATTTCCAGGGTTTCCCTTTGCTGTGGATTAATTGGGGGGAAGACAGCTAGTTTCAAGCAGTACTTAGAACTAAAAAATACGAGGTGAGACTGTCACTTTTCACTCCACCGGCTGCCTGGCCTCATATCCATAAGCCCTCTTAGAGGAAACCCCTTCACCCCTCTTGTCCTTTCACTGTGCAAAGGTACTCTGTCCCCTTTGGTGTCAGTGCACTGGGGGCTGTTTCCTTCATGCAAATAGAAATGCAGTGGAAAATATGCAGGGGATATATCAACAAAAGCCAACTAACTTGGAAGTTGTTAAAATAAAATAATCCCTTATCCTAGTGCTGTGGTTCTCAAATTTGAGTGTACACTTAAAAATCAACTTGAAATTCTGATTTTAAAATGTCAATTCCCAAGCTCCATCCCTAGAAAATCAGTAGGTCTGGGGCAAAGCCCAGGAAACTTCCTCCTGCCCTACAGCAGTTTCCCAAACTCAACAGACGAGAAGAATTACCTGGAATGCTGTTTTATAAACAGACATTTCCAGACCTACCCTGGAGACTAGTCCCGTATGTGTGAGGTGGGGTCCTAGAATCTGTACGGGAAACAGTGCTCCCCAGTGGCTCGTAGAATCAGGCAAGCCTGGTGAACACTGCTCTAGGGGTGGCTGCATGGAGGTAGAAAGGAGACTCAACAAGCTCCCCAAGAGACTCTGACATACCCCATCTGCCCCCATCCTGCCCTCAGCACCTCACCTTTAGAACCAGTACCCTAGAGACAGCATCATCACAGAAAAGTAAAATTACTGGGGCTAAAACTCTGGGTTTCAGCTTACTGCAAAATGGTTATAACTGGATAAACTTCTGGAGACCATACACAACCTTATATTTTGATAATTCTATCAATACCAAAGAAATGGAGTTTATTAAACTCAGTTAAAAGTTACAGGATTAGCCATGTTTCCAACACTAGAAGACTCTAGAAGGAGATAAACATATTGCAAGGACCCACTTATTAGTCATTTGGCTGTTACTCAGAACTTTCTCATCTTTCAATGTACCCAAGTAGATTTTGGTGGATCCAGTCATCACTGGAAGAAATCTGACCCATGGCAGAAAACCTGTCTAAATTGATGGTCTCATATTAAATTTAAAATGTCCCATCTACTTGCCAGTCTTTGGATGAAAAGACTTTGAAAAGATGAAATCTTTTTTTCAAAAAGTCACTCACAGACTTCCATCTCCTGCTCCTCACACTTGGCCAAGCCCGCGTCATTGGAGGCAATGCAGGAATAGCGCCCGGAGTCTTCCTTGTGGACAGCGCTGAACACCTGTTTCAGGAAACTACAGGTGAGCAATGAGACCCAGCAACAAAGCGGACCTCTAGGGATGGGAGAGCAGAGGTTGCCACCCCCGCCCCCCAACCTGCTAAGTCCGGAACATGCTAAAACATCTGCTCGTTTGCTCTTGGTTTCCCTTCGGCTTCTCGGTCACTGTCCAATTCCCTGACATTCTTTTCTGACTCTCTTGCCTAAGAGCTCCCAATGAGATCCCCTTTGGTATTTGGAGATATCAAAGCCTAGCAACATCCAGAATGAGATGCTGACTTGACTTCTATTCAGGAAAAAGGACTCTGATCACAAGTGTTCCTGAGGCAACACTTTGGCAATACCAACACAGGGGATCCCACTGTAACCTGGCTCATCACCCAATGTGCTCGACACAGCCCACATCAGGAGACCTAGACAGACCCAGAGCCTGTGGCGTGCTGCAGAGGGCAGTGTGTCCTCTGTGCAGGACCAGTCTGGTTTCATCTCCTCCCCCACCACTCCCCACCACACTGGGTTATTCTGAAGCAAATTCCCAACACACTGTCTACATAAACACTTCAGTATGTATCTCTAGAAGATAAGAACTTTTTAAAATCATAACTACAATACCATTATCGTGCCTAAAGCAATTAACAATTCCTTAATATCAAATATCCAGTAATCAAATTTCCCTGGTTTCTGATGATTTTTACAAGTGGTTACTCAAATTAGGACTCATTACATTTGTTTAATATCCCTCTTCAGTCACTTGTACTCTACAGGTTCCCTTCTTTTGTTTTACTGCTTTAGAGATGATTTGTTTATAAAAGGAGGGGATGGTCATTGTTCCTGTGGAATCTCCACCATGATGGATTCTTAGCTCCTGTCTTACAGAGCTTCACTGTCTCCCCTAATAACTGTCCTTTCCGAAATAGGCATCCCTTGCCCCAACAAAGAGGTTTGCATCCTCACCTCTTAGAAGAGATCTTACCAGAGTGCCTGTTTCAGAGTTTAGGAGAAAAGAGGAATTTCGAAATCTGGGGTGGGCTCTGGAATCTGTGGGCAGTGGCATGTTGTTGCGATACCAGCTGTAATGAGGCCGGGGGTAGCCTTCGCTCTCCTGGCAGTGCAGCACTGCTGACTTGCCTACCGGTACAGCCTTTGGTACTCTGCACACCGGAGTTACTGGCTTCACTGTAGCAGAAATACAGTTGGTATTTAAAATCAGCAACATGGCTCTATTCTTACCAAAGCCCGTAACAAAGCGGCTCCAAAAACAAGGAAGCCAAGCAAAGATTCTTGCACCACTGCCGTCCCCAGGGTCATGCCTGCAGACTGTGGTCTGGGGCCTGCACCCATCCCTGTGGTTCACCTCCCCATGTACAATCCCACCACGCGTTTCCAATGCCTCCACCTCCCTGAGGAGCACCCCCGACAGCTCGACAGCTCGTGCACGAAAGTGGCAGAAGCTCCACTTCCCTTCTCACCTTCCACCCCTACTCAGGCAGTCTCAGCTCTCAAAAGCTCTCCCTCCCTAAGTCGTGTGACACCCTCAGGGATGCAGCTCCAGGAGAGGAAGTGAGAGCTGATCGTTTTATTCTGCAAACAGTCCTGAGGCCTGGAGGGCATGTGTTGACTCCACACGGGTTCCTACCCTGCACAGACCATGAGGCTGGAGGGGACGTGTTGTAACTCCTACCTTGCACAGTCAACTCAATGACAATCTCATCAATTTCTTTGCGGTCATTTCGAGCAACCACCTCACAGCGATAAAGGGCCGAGTCTTTCCGGGTCACGTTCCAGATCTTTAGGGAGGTTTTCCCCAACAGTTCTGCACGACCTGCCAAGTCTCCTACAAAAAAGAAGACACAGGGCACTACAAGACTCTTTGAAGACATCTTCACCACTTGAAGAAGGGGGTTTCCAAGGCCAGTGTGTGATGCCTCAGTAAGAAGACTGCAGACTGGTTTCTATTTTATTCCCACAGAACAGAGGTGAATGCCCTGAGGACACCGAGCACCAAACAGCACCTGGTGTGTAAGGACGCATTACAGCTGTCTCTGCTGTTAAAGCAAGGACCTCATTTCCTTTTCATCATTCCCAGCTGGGATTCCCCAGAAAAGAAAAAAATCAAACAAAGAAAACAAACAACATTAAAAAACAAACAGCATTCCACAAATGGTGCTGGGACAACTGGATACCGATGTGCAAAACAACAAAGCTGGACCCCTACCTCACACCATATACAACAAAAACCTTCCTCTAAGAGCTAAAACCATGAAACTCTTAGGAAAAAAATAGACATAAATTGTCATGACCTCGCATTAGGCAAAAATTTCTTAGATATGACCCCAAAAGCACAAGAACAAAAACAAAAATAGTTATATCGGCCTTCATTGGACTTTCATAAAAAATTTAAAACTTTTATGGTTCAAAGGACATAAGCAAGTGAAAAGACAATCCACTCAATGGGAGAAAATATTTGCAAATCATATATGTGACAAAGGACTAGTATCCAGAATACAAAAATAATTTGCAACTCAAATAGACAGACAAATAACCTAATTAAAAATGGACAAAGGACTTAAATAGACATTTCTCCAAAGAAGACAAACAGCCAAGAAGCAAAAGATACTCAACACCATTAGTCATCAGGAAATGCAAATCAAACCACAATAAGCTACCACATCACACCCACTAAGAGGGCTATAGTCAAAAAGATGGACAATTACAAGTGTTAGTGAGGATGTGAGGAAACACACTGCTGAGGGAATGTAAAATGGTGCAGCCACTCTGGAAAACAGTTGGGCAGTTTCTTAGAAACAACTATACATTCAACTACCATATGACCTAGCAATTGTACTCTTGGTCATTTATCCCCAAGAAATGAAAACTTCTGTCCACACGAAAACCTGTACATGAAGGAATGTTCATAGCAACATTATTGATAACAGCCAAAAATTAGAAACAACCCAAATGTACATCAATTGATGAATGGATAAAAATGTGGCATATCTACAACGGAATATTATTCAACCAAATAAAAGGGCTATAAAAGGGAATGAAGTACTGACACATGCTACAACATGGATGAACCTTGAAAACGATATGCTAAGTGAAAGAAGTCAGTCATGAAGGACCACATATTATAGGATTCTATTTACGTGAAGTGTCCAGAACAGGCAAATCCACAGAGATGGAAAGAAGATTAGTGGTTGCCAGAGGTGGGGGTACAGGGAATGGAGAGTGAATGATAATAGACATGGGGATTCTTTTTGGGCTGATGAAAATTTTCTGGCATTTGATAGTGGTGGTGGTTGTACATCTTTGTTGAATATACAATAACCACTGAAGTATATACTTTAAAAGAGTGAGTTTTATGCTATATGAATTATATCTCAATAAAAAAATTCAAAGTATAAAAAGACACAGCAACTCTTTCAAAGAAGCAGGAAGAACCTGGAGAATGACAAATAAGGGAAGGAGTTAGAAAAAAAAGACACAAAAAAATAAAAACTAATTATCACTAAACTTGTTGACTGGTGACAAGTATAGGAAGGATGTACCATAATATAATAAAAACAGCAAAATGCTGATGATAAGAAGATGAACATTTCCAAAGGCATTTCTAATAGGAAGGTTTGTTATCCAGCTGTCATTAGTAGAAGGATTAGAATTTCTACCATGTAACCATGTAAGAAAACAGTAAGTAGAAGTCTATCAGGGTACTTCTGATACAGTCCTGCATGGAGGCAAGAGAAGAGGCCAAGTAGATTACAGTTTCCCTCCAGCCCTCATATTCTGTGTGGTAAATACTCTCCCCAGTCCTCTGGCTAAGAGTTGTTGAATTCCCAGAAACAGAAAGTTCTTGAAAGAAAATTCCCACTTGGATTCTCTACTCATGAAAACTGCATGTACAGGGTTTATCGGGAGCAGCCTAAGTTGCCAGAGAAAACTGACTTGTTTTCTGAGAATAACATTTCCATCTCTTCAAAAATAAGTGGGGGGAGGATATCGGTGGGAAACAAAACTATGTTGAAAAGCCTCTAACTCTTGATAATATTAGGACCCGAAGCAGAAAGACGGCTTTAGGTTGTGTCCACAAACTCGCTTTCCCTTCTCTGAAACCTCAGCTATCAACTGCTCAGAGAACTCTGAAGCCCCACTTCTAACTCAGCCACATTTGTACCTCAGGTGCGCTTCTTCCCTCCGTCAGAATGGAGGCGATGCTGCACTTCACGTCATCCGTGAGTCCTTCCTCTCCCTCCCTCGCCACAGCCAACTCTTACCACTCCTCCTCTTTAATGTCTCTCTACAGTGCCTCGGCCTTAGCTCCACCAGCAGCTCCCTCCTGGGTTCTGCAAAAAAATTCTAAATCGGTGCCCCTGCTCCGAGTTTTGCCCATCTCCAATCTCTTCTCTATGAAGCAGCCAATTCGGTCTTTCTAAAGCATAAACGTGATCACGTCACTTGCCCTTTAAAATCTTTCAGTGGACTCGCAAGACACTGCCCACTCTTGCCTGGCATCCAGCGCTTCTTGTCTGTCCCTGGCAGACCTCTCCTGCTTCATCTGGAGGCACTCCTCCCTCCAGCTCCCTCTCGAAGCCCCAGCTGTGCTGGAGAACTTGCACTTTCTCCAAGCTACCTTTTGCTTCTATGTCTCTATACACACCATTCTTTCTCGCCCAACACCTTTCTCCCCCACCCCAAACCATCTTGCCTGGCTAACCAGCCTTTCTTCCTACCTCTGCCTAAGATGTCACCTCTGGGAAGCCTTCCCTGATCATCCATCCTGCCCCTACTTCATGTAATCTGAGGGCACCCTGTGCTTCCCGCTGTTCTAGCACGGGGGTAATACCCTGCTAACTGGTCTAGCACATGCTTTCTCCACATGGTGTGCTTGGCACACAGGATGCTCAGTAACTGCCTGCTGTCTCCTCGCTGCTCCATATCAAACTGCTGATTAACTCACATCGCCAACATCATGGATCGTGATAAGAAGATGGCCTAGGAAAATGTTCACTCTGATACCTCAAAAAGATGGGTTGCAGATAAATTAAAACCCTAACTAATGAACTATTATTTGTTGAAGCTGGGTGACAGATACAGAGGGTTTAATATACTATTCTCATCACTTTTGCTATGCTTGAATTTTCCATAAGTAAAACAAAATAACCAATCCTGGCTACAGAGGCAGGAGCAGTCAGAGGAGTCTCTGGCCACAAGTGCATGCTTGGGCCTTGTGTCCAATGGAGAGGACCACAGGATCATACCCTGAATTTTGTTGTCAAAAAACACATATGTAGTTTGCTCATCTTGAATTTTCTTCCATTCAATCCTGGGGTCATTTGTCTGTGAATCCATTATGATACAAGACAGTTCCACACCTAATAAGCAAAGGAAAAAAAAGAATTCTCAGTGAATGTGGCACAATTTCAGGTTCACTTGTAAACCTAGACCGTGCAGGCTGTCTCTAGCTTGAGAGAGGTCTTCATGCAGATTAAAAATCTAGCTATCACCCGGCTCTAAGAGACTTTAAGAAAAGATGAATTTTGCCAGAAAAACAATAAAGATGATTAGCAAGGACTTTTACTAAACAGAGTACAGGCTCCCCCTTCATACTCTGCTTTTACATAAGAAATTTCTTTGTTGTGTAAGTATAAACCCAGGGCAGGAATCAGATTTTAGCCAATATAAAACCTGCAGAGTCCCCACTGGCCTGTGGAAGCAGTGCTTCATCGACACATGTGCCCATCAAGGCACTGCTGAGCAGCCACCCACCTGAACATCTCCTGGCACTATATGTATATGTATGTCTGTCCTGCGTTGGCTGCAAGACTACCAAATGTCCATTAGATGGTGCTCCTTCTCCTAATAGTCTCCCTTGTACTTACTTTCAAATTCCTGTACCACTGGGTTTCGGTTGCTGGATTTGAGATTCACAGCCCCTATCAAGCAGCCTAAAGGAAAAAAAGACAAGTAAAATCAGAGACAATGCAACTATAAAACAGCAGAGAACCCTCGGACTGAGGTCAGATTTTTCCCTTCTATGTAGGCTACAACCACTAACCATAGAGGACAGAAAAATATATTCCAAAACAAAGTCTCTTAGATAAAGCAAGCTGACTACTTTCTCTCTCAGTCTGACCTTCACTGGGAAGAACCAAGAGAAAGAGCAGTCCTGAGAATTCACTCTCCTTCTCAGTCCCAGGACAAAGCCCCTAGAACTTGATCGACTTTTCCTCTGCAAATTTCCTTCTTGCTTACAGTCATTGTTAATCCTTTCAACACCCATCATCCAGACACACATGGGCCTTCTTCTTGTCATTCCTCCCTCCTACCTCTCCCCTCTCCTCTAGGCTTCAAATCCAGCAAAGGCACTCTCAGTGGATTTCATGCTGTCCAAACTCTTGGCCTGGTACTTTTCCTCTAGGATGGCATCAACACTCTCTGGGTATAGTTATCAGCCGGGTAAGAGACCACCTCACGGTATTAGCCATGTATCTAACCCAGTGATTCCCATCCATGAAAAGTTTTCACCAGTCTTTGGTAAAATGAGAAAAATAATAACATAATTTTCATGAAGCTCAGTTGAATGAAGCTATGGATGAAATCAAGATATGCTATTTGCATGGTAATCCCTTTCAAAACTAGCATCTGACTACCCACGAGTTTCAACAAAGATCAGAAACTAGTTCATCATGGTCTCAAAATTTCTTAACTGATTTTCTGGGAGAGAAGATCAAGTAGGTACATTGACCACCTACAAAATGTCATTCTTCAGCTATACTTGGCTCTAGGAAAATATGCCATCTCCAAAGAAGGCCTTCATACATAAAACCCTTATTAAGGTCTCTGGATGTTAGCTTACTATACCAGCTAAAGAAAATGTGCAGGAAGACTTGTACTCTAAGCTGCTTTATAACTCCTTGTACATGCGGGGGGCTGCAGGTCACAATAATCCATTCTTTTCCTTTTTTAAGTCTTATTTAATGATACAGCTATATGTATACATTCCCAGTATACATTTTGATCCTTTCCTTCTTACTTAGTAAGACTTCATTAATTATAGCAAAAGCTTTAAAGAATCTAACAAAAGGCATGAAAATTAGAAGTATAACATACCTGAGTTGCTGTTAGTTTCTAAAACGCTCACTGTAGAAGTGTATGTATTTTATGTTATGTATATTTTACCAGAATAAAAAAAATTTTTAGTGATGATGTTGACGATGTGGAAAAACTGGATCACTCGTATAGTTTATACATAGAAAACACTGTAAGGATACAGGGGTGGAGCAGGGTCTCTCACATTCGATTGTAGATGTCTTACCGTGGTAAGAGTACCACGTTTAGTAAAGGAGAAACTCTTTATGTCACCCTGACTCTGATTTTCTCTATTCACAAACCTTCAGTTGGGTGGAACAGCAGACTCTCTACCTGCTGCTGATGTCTTTTAGAGAGCCCCAAAGCAAAACCTGAAAACGTTAATGTTCCGTGAAGTGCCAGGAGCACATAGGCCACTGCAAAATTAGTCATGGTCTCATAAGTATTCTCGTTGTATACTTTGATCATGAATGCAGTTAGCCAGTTGATTTTTTACTTATGTGTTCATTAAAAGGATTTGGGAGAACTTATATAAATTTTTTATTTAAGTTTAAATAGTTATTAAGTATGTAATTTCTGGTATATTGTTAATGTTTACACTTGAAAATAAAACTGTTATTTCACCTTTTTTAGTGTATCCAGTGGATTCCAAATGCCATAGTGAGTTGATATTCACCATCATCATTTTAGAAAAAGACAAGTATTTTTACATTTTAATGTTGAGGGGAGTCTCAAATTTGGTTAAGAGGTTTTGAATAGAGATAAGACAACTACATGTATCTTAGATCCTGTCTAAGTCCAAGACTCAGTAATATATTCCTGAGCAGGATGAAGAACAGAGTGGCCAAATTATAGTTCTGTGAGCAAACTGAATTCAACTAAATGGTTTTCTGGAAAACTCAAGGAAATCTAATCTAGAATATAAAAAATGCATATTGATTTGTTCAGAAAACACTTCTTGAGTACCTACTAAACATCATTCAGTGCTAGAAGGAAGATATGAAGATGAATAAATATAATACTTGTTCTTTTATACTAGAATGTAAGCACGAGAGCATAAATTTTTACTCATACATGTATCGTCCCTAAATTTAGGCCTGTATCTAGCATATATTAGGCACTGAATACAAATTGCTGAATGAATGGATTCTCCCAAAGAGCTTCAAGTCTGATAGAGAAGCCAAGATAGATATGAAATTAAATGGGAACAAAACATGTGAAAGATGCTGTAATGGATTTCCCTTTGTTCTCTTTCCAAAAAACCCTTTGCTCAGCGTTAAACAATGTCATCTCCATGTGAGTGTTGTGATAGCACTGGGATTCAATGTGTGCGCAGCTAAACTCCAGCAGCCGCCATTTCAAGGCTGGCTTCCAGACCCCATTTCCTAACTGGGTGTTAGGATCTTCTCCCCAGGCATCGGATAGTATTCCAGATGGGTTAGTTATGATGTCTTCAAGTGTTAGGTGTGTGCTTTCCAATCCTCATAGCACCATTCTTTTACACAAGTTATTACTGTATCTTACAGTGGGATCCTGGGCCATTGGGGATGGGCAAAGTAAGGGATTATAAATATTTATAAATTTAAGAATTGTTTAGGAATAGGACAAAAATTCTGAGGAAGGACTCTCAGTTTGGGACCTTATTAGACCTAGGGCCCAGCTGTTGTGAATAATCACTTAAGCTAAAGCTTCACTTGCTTGAAGTGCTCTTCTATTCTTGAATCTTCTTGGGACATAGTCTTCTAGAGTTGGCACAAGCAGCTGCCGGTGAAACTTATGAAGGGTAATTGGGCAAGAGAAGTCAGGCCAAGCTCACTTTAGCAACTGTTACGTAAGTGGAAATATACAGTAGGTGACTTTTTGAGATTGACTTTTTCATTCAGCAGGATGCCTTTTAGATCCATCCAACTTGTGTCTAACAGGAGTTCATTTCTCTCTATTGCTGAGTAGCATTCCATGGTGTGGATATATCACAGTCTGTGTAACCATTAACCCACTGAAAGACTCTGGGTTGTCTCCAGTTTGGGGCTATTATGAATAAAGCTGCTGTGAACATTTATGTACAGGTTTTTGTATGAACATGTTTCCATTTCTCTGGGATAAATGCCCGAGTACAAATGCTTGGTCATATGTTGTTTCATGGTTAGTCTTTTAAAGAACCTAACCGTTTTCCAGAGTTGGGCTGTACCAAAAATTCATTACAGGAAAGTTTTTTTTCTAAATTCTTTTTTTCTTTTTTTTTAACTTAGAAGGGTATACTGGACCACTCTGTACTATCTTTGCAACTTCCTGTGAATCTATAATTATTTCAACATTAAAATGTTGCTCCTGGGAGCAGACCTACACCACTCATCTGTCGGTGGCCATGCTGTGGCGGTGACTCACATACAAAAAGAGGAAGATTGGCAGCAGATGTTAGCTCAGGGCAAAAAAAAAAAAAAGTTTGAGAATTCCTTCTCTACAGTCTAACCACTTATTTCCCAAAAGCTAAATGACATTAAGGTGGTCCAAAGGCAAGGCTATTCGATAATGTTATCAGGGTCAGGATATCTCCAATATATTGATGCTAACTGTATCACATTATTACAGAAAGAAAGAGAAGTTACTGATATTCTTAAGGCTCAACAGCTAGGTACTATCAGCAGGACCTGGGGAGGAAGAGACAAAACCAGGATTCAGAAAGGTTATACATGGGACAGATTTACTTCCAAACACATGCCCCATGCCATAAATAGTGGGGTCGGACACAGTTTTTTATATAGGAAGACCTGACCAAGAAACTGTGACTCTGCTGTCTGTCCTAGCTCTCTCACAGAAATCCTGAACCATCTCCATCTGTACAGTCTCCAGACCAACCCAGCAAAGTGCCCTCCTCCACAGAGCTGTGTGCCCTTGTCTAAACTACATGAAGAAAGAGCCTGAGGAACAAGGCACTACTGGGGAGAGAAGTAACCGAGCTGGGAATCCAGCCCTGAGGATGCAGAAACAGAGACTGCCCTAAAATAAAGAGCACAGGCCCTTCCCAGTCAGGAGGTTCCCTCTCTGCTCCCAGAAACAGATGACAGAGACATGTACATAAACAAAACTGCAGGGCACTGCAGCACAGACACAGCAGAAAAAAACAAGAGAGAGATGACGGCAGGGATGGAGCACACTGTGGCCATTCATCTGCATATGAGTCACAGCCTTTGACATCAGCCTTTGCCTCATTTTGGTTAGGGTGCCCAAGCACAGAAAATGCAGAGTAGGGAGCCAGAGAACCTTGGGGTCAACTCCTAAGTTCCAGTATCACTTGGTTAAGCAACTGGGCTCGAGAATGAGAAGCATCCCGCCCCTCTGGACATTGGTCTACAAGGAAAATACACCCTTTTCCTGAGAAGACAAGGATGGGCTGCAGAAGGGATGTCATATGGAGTATAAATTTTCACATACAAGGAGCCAATCAGCAGTGCTCAGAGAGAGAAAAGCAGACAGACATAGAGAAGTGAGACCTTTAAACTCACCAAGAGCATTATTTTGACATGTAACAAATGTGATGGTAAGCTGCTTCTTGTAGTTCAGTTCACTATTCTGCTAAAAAGGGAGGTGAACCCGTTAAGGTACTTTTCTCTGAACAGGACTGTCAACCTAGCCTGCAGGATTAATGCCTAATGTAGAGAAAAGAACACAGCAGACACTGTCCTTCCTCCCACCAACATTTTGATAATTAACACAGCAGGAGGGAACTAAAGGGTGAGGAGACAGTGCTGCCGGGAATTTAATGAACAATGCTTTCTTCTGAGTATGGTTGTCTCACAGCACGCTCTGAACACTAGTTAAGCCTCCCAGCATTCCATCGAGGTAGGTAAGGATGACT